TCAGAGGTGGGGGGGGAAAGAGGGAGAGAGGGAGAGAAGAGGAGAGGGAGAGAGGGAGAGAGGGAAAGAGGGAGAGAGGGAGGGAGAGAGGGAGGGAGGGAGGGAGGGAGGGAGAGAGAGAGAGAGAGAGAGAGAGAGAGAGAGAGAGAGAGAGAGAGAGAGAGAGAAGGCTGAAGAAAACAGAATCTGAGGTCACTATAGGCAACTTGAAAATTTTTATTGGGATCAACATTACTTTCCTTCACTTTTGTCCAGTCAAATACAAGCTCCTAATAAACGTGTTCTTGCCAGATGCTACTCCACAATTGTATGATTAAATAGGAACATCAGCTACCACTATGCCAAGGAATCCATGAGAATATTCAACCTGGAAAAAACCTCAACCCCAAATGAGCACCTCCCAGGAGATGACGACAACTCTTTTAGGAAATCTTTTAACCACAAAGTCCAACTCCCCTTCACTCCTACAGCCTCAGTCACACATCCCAAAGGGCTGATCCCTTAAACTAGGACAACCTGACCCACATCAGCAGCCCAGAGGCATTATGGCAACATCTCGCCTTTCCAACAATTGAAGCAACTGAAGAAAATGCTGAGGGACAAACAATTGAATGACTGTAATTGAAATCCTATAATTGGTGATTTGTCAATAACTACTGACTTTGTCAAGTTTTCTTCATTCCTAAGCCAATACTGATAGCCACAATGTGTAAGTGCAAACACCAAAACACTTCTGAAACCATTTCATTGTCTCAGAACAATGAGATGAAGAATAGATTCTCTCTGAGGATAGAGAAGATGCATCTCCCAGTTCACCCTTCAATGAACACTAATTTTAAAGGCTTAAAGAAAAAAGTACTTTGGGATGTTGAATGGAAAAAGCTAAAATGCCAGAGGGATCAGCTCTATTGGCAAGAAGTAGGGCATTGAAACCCAAAGGCTGTCCTGTTCATACTATTATATGAAGAAGAATTAATAGTTCTGTTTCCTTACAGTTACTAACCTGCACTGGTCAAAGAGCCACCTGAGCTGAGCTGAATCAAGTCAGACAAGATTATTTACTTGTGTGTTGGTGAATACACAATATACAGATGATGTATTATAGAACTGTACACCTGAAACCTATATAATTTCATTAATCAATGTCACCTCAATAAATTCAATTAAAAAATAGATTTACTTCGATTTTAGGATTACAGCTCTCAGGTTGAAACAGGGATTTTTCAGACTTCAACCCAATATTCCTCTATATAACTCCCCTCCAAAATATCCCTATCTCATCTCCAAGTAACTGATATAACCTTGGTGTGATGCAGAGAGGATTGGAATGAAAAGTCCTGGGTTGGAGGCCTGGGTCCCGATTCTTAGATTTATCAGTCATTCAGCACTAGACCTACTTATCTTCAACTACAATATGAGGAGACTAGACTGGTTAATTGCCAAAATCTCATCCAGTTCAAGATTCTCTAGGCAATAACAGAGAATGAACTAGCCCCAAAGATAATGGTTTTCATGTTTGGACAATTCTGATATTAAAAAGTTCTTCCTTGTACAAAGTCAAAATATGCCTCCAATGGGTTCTGTCCATTTATCTGAGTTTTTTATACAATTTAAGTATAATCTCTCTCCCATATAACCACCATTCATATAATGAAGACAGGTATTAATCTCGCATCCATCTGCTTCTCACTTGGTTCCTTCATCTACCTAATCATTCTACTTACTTTACTCAGAACACATAACAACTGTCCATTTCCCTATTAAAAAGTGGTCATTAGACCTGAACAAACAGTCACAGAAACAAGCTGACAAATGCCAAGAGAACAACACTGCCACTTATGTTGTTCTGGCAAATACATCTTTTAATGCAACCCAAATCAGCATTACCTTTTCAGCTACTACATCACGCTGTCACTGTCACCATACCCTTCTTTTACTTATGTGTTCTTCCCAGTCTTTATGATGTTGAATTTAGCAAAGTCAGAATTTTACTTTTATTTCTGTAAGATTCATTTTATGAAATTTGGGCTATTTGGTGAGACAAGCTGAAATCTCAAATCCTCAGTCTATCCTAAGAAATTTTGCCATCTGTTGACATTTTCATCTAAGTTATTGATAAAATATAATGATCAGAACATGGTCAATAAAACAGTCCTGAAACAGACTTTTAGAGACTGCCCTCCATAATAACATAAATATGCAAGATTTAAATTTCCAGGCCATCAAAAGGTTAGATCCCAGTTTACCCCATCCTTTCTCTCTCGTCTCTTCTTTCTGCTGCCCCTGCAATAATACCTGCAGATAAGAATGCCCAGGACTTTGGGCACTTTGAGAGAACCACTGTTTTAAACAGTAAACATATAAAGAAAGGTAACAAAAATAAAAGTCCACACCCAGTACAACGTGATGTACTGGAAATAATGTGGGAGTTGGAATCAGAAGACCTGGAATTGATCCTAGTTTTGTAACTTACTCGCTGGGTAACCTTGGGCATCATATCCCTATCAGTTTCCTCATCTCAAAAATAGGGATAATAATGATGACATCATGATATTGTTCTGAACATTAGAAGCAATATGTGCAAAATCTTAGTACATGATTGGCACATAATAGGCATGAAATATAGTATTATTATTATTATTATTACAGCATGGAGAGAGAGAGAGATAAAAAACACAATAGCTACATGCACACAAAGACAATTAAAACCAAGAGGAGGAGAAAATGAATATTTGAGTTCTGTGAATGTTAATTAATTTTCCACAAAAGAAAGAAGTAATGGTCAAATAAAGTTAGAAATGACAATGTTAAAGTTTTTAAAACCCCAAACATTTTTCTATCTCATTGGCTCTAAATAAGATAATCTCCATACTTACATTTTTTATCTGATCGTGTCCTAAAAATTGTTATAGGGTCCTGGCACACTAAAGATTGTGACCCAAGCATTACAGAGTAAGAAGCAACACAATCTGGGAGGTGGGGTGCAGGCATATAAGCAAATAATTAAAATAAAACATGACCAGTGTTACCAGAGAGATAAAGTTCTATATATGAGGGAATAGCTATCTATTTGTAGATATCAGGTAAGGCTTTATGAAGAAGATAATGATTATCAAGGGTCTTCAAAGATGAAGAGAAGGTAAGGTTGAGGGACTGTCCAGTTAATAAGGATAGCATTCAGAGATTGTGAACAGTGGTGGACCACAGAGATTTCATCCAAGGAATTTTTATCAGTCTAGAGTTACTTTCACATAAAATAGAGGTGATAAGAGAAGCATCAAGAAAGATACAGATTTGGCCGAAACTGGTTTGGCTCAGTGGATAGAGTGTCGGCCTTCAGACTGAAAGGTCCCGGGTTCGATTCTGGTCAAGGGCATATACCTTGGTTGCAGGCACATCCCCAGTGGCGGGGGGGGGGGGGGGGGGGGGTAGGGGGCAGCAGCTGATCGATGTTTCTCTCTCATTGATGTTTCTCTCTATCCCTCCCCCTTCCTCTCTGTAAAAAATCAATAAAATATATTTTTTTTTAAAGAAAGATACAGATTTTTACCTATTGTGAAGGAGTTTGTATGACAGTAAAGCAGTTTGGAATTCTATAGGCAAGGAGAAGCCATGGAGGGAATGACAGGATGACATTAGGTGATTCAGGCAGCCTATTAGTAGAGGGGCTAGTTATGATACTGTTTACAAATGCTTCGTTGAAAGATGGTGAGTCCAGAATTAAAATTGCAGCACTGGATATAGGGAATAGGCCCACATACATAGAATATAAGGCCAGGTACAGTTTACATGATGTGGCATGATTATGGAGGTAAAGAATGGAGAGTAGTAAAAAATTACTTGGTGTAGCTTGAGAAAACCAGAGGATGGGGATGAAATTAACCAATATGTGGGCATCTGTAAGACAGTACATTTTGTTATAGGGGATGAGAATAAGTTCAGATTTAAACACTATGAACAGAGGTAAGTAAGACACATTCAAATAAAGATGTAAGGTCGGACATAGTCTGGAAACCAAGAGCAAGGTCAAAATAAGAGTCTCCTGTATATTTATGAGAATGAATTTTTTAAAAGCATGTTTTAACCCATAGGAAGATGTGGAAAATGTCTCTGATACACCAATGTGATAACCTTGAAAACAATGTAAAATAGACTAATGATTCTTGCCTAATAAACTCATGCTAGATCCTAGTGATTACACTTATAATCCAAAAGCTCATTGTCTTGCTCTCTTCCGAAAAGACAAAATTAAATTTGCCTCTTTTCTCTCCCTTCATCATAATTTCTAAAAGAACATTCATCCCATGGCAAGTTCTCCCAGTATCCAGCAATGGAATTCATTAATAAAAAGGGACATGCAGCCTGATCGGAGTTGCTCAGTTGGTTGACCATGGTCCTGTGTATTGGAAGGTTGTCAGTTTGGTTCCCAGTCAGGGAATATACCTGGGATGCAGATTCAATTCCCAGGTGGGGAGTGTATGGAAGGCAACCAATCGATGTTTCTCTCTTGTACTGATATCTCTCTCTCTCCCCTTTCTTTCTCTAAGGATGTCCTTGGATGAGGACTTGTTTTAGTGCAGGTAGGTGATTGTGATGTCTTCCTACCATAGCTTAAAGTTTCCCGTGAATACATATTCTATCCCTTTAAGGACAAGCATAAGATAGTGCATTTATCAATAGATATTTATCAAGCACCTACCAAGTCAATTTTTAAAAAGTAAGTGTGAACACTGCACACAAAGAACCTATAATATCCAAAGGAAACCTTCTATAAAGTCTCCAATATATGGGGTTCATATAATTTTGGAACTTAATCAATCAAGTACAAATGAGTACGTGAGGAAGTTAAGAAGTAAACACTAGAGAAATAGAGGTGGAGATGTGGGCGGGTCTGGGTTTGGTTAGAAATGAATCAGACCAACCTACAGAGGATGGCTCCTCCTTGGACAGGCGGATATAAAAAGGTTATCATCACAGAACTTCAGCACCCAGCAAGCTCCTTCTGGCTGCATTCTACTTGCTCTTCTGGTGAAGTAAGTAAGAGGGGATGCATCTAGCTTTGCCTACTTGGTGTTAAGCATGATAGAATTCTGGATGTTCTTGTATTCTAAGGCAAAAAGTTCTGGGTGTGCAACAAGCATGTCAAACTCAAAGGCTAACATGGGCCAGATAAATCGGGCATGCAGCCCGTGGGCCATGAGTTTGATATGGTTTGTGTACGGGGTTCTTTACCTTTGCTGGAACTGTTACTAAAAGTTTATTTCAATGCAGAAGAAAAATAAGGGTATAGTTGTTGTTTTTTTCTATGAGGCTATTTAGTATTCTCTTCATATTACTATAGTTTCCATTTATTCATTCAACAAATGTATATTAACTACCTTATTTTGCCAAGTGCTGCTTTTAGCTGATTATGTAACAGTGAACAAGATAATCTCCCTACTCTTAAGAGGTTACATTTTAGTAGGAGAAGACTTTCAGTAAGTAATGAATAAGTAAAATTTCACAGATTAATAAAAATAATGAAGAAAATAAGTGAGTGATGAGGTAGAGTAATAGGAGGAGAGAACTTAGGTGCAGGAAAAGAATGGCCAGGAAATACCTCTCTGGAGAATTATCTTTTGAGCTGAGATCTTAAAGAAAAAAAGAACAAGTCAAGGCAAAGTTCAAGATTTTTAAAGCAGAAGTACATTTTTTTTGAAGATGAAAAAAAAGAAGCTAGTGTGCCTAGAGTATATTTAACTAGAGGAACAGGAGTATATAATGTCAGAAAGACAGACTAGGGTAGACCATGTAAGAAGGAGCATAGCAGAGTTTGTACATCATTTTAAGTACTTGAGAAGTCATTGACTGGGGCAGTAACACAATTGAGAGCACATTTTAAAAATACCATTTTGGGCTGCTAAGTGGGAAAAGTGATAATAAAATCACAAAAGTCAGAGCAGAGAGATGGGTGGGCTGTAGTTTTAGGTAAGAGATGATGAGAATACTAGAAATGGTGAGAAAAAAAACTCTTTGCTAGAGCCCAAATCTAGTTTATATCCCCATCTTTTTTCACCATCTACCCACCTCCCTCCCTTTTGGCAATTATCAGCTTTTTCTCTGTATCTATGGATCTGTTTCTGTTTGGTTTGTTCATTTGTTGTGGTTTTTTATTGATTCCACAAATAAGTGAAATCATGTTATTGGTCTTTCTCTGACTGACATATATTACTTGGAAAAATTACCCTCTAAATTCATTCCTATTGTTGAAAATGACAAGATTTCATTCCTTTTTTTAATGCTGATTAATATTTCATTATGTATCTGTACCACATATTCTTTATCCATTCATTGATCAATAGGCACCGTGGTTGCTTCCATATCTTCTTGGCTATTGTAAATAATGCTGCAATGAACACAACATGCATATATCTTTTAGAAGTAGTGTTTTTGTTTCTTTCAGAAATATGAAGATAACATTTTGTTGTCTTCTGGCTGCCATGGTTTCATTTTAAAAGCCAGATGTCAGTCTTATTGTTGTTCCTTTCAGGACAACATGTGTTTCTCTGGCTGCTTGTAAGATTTCCTCATTCTTTAAGTGTTCAACAGCTTGAATTTTTTAAATCAAATATGTAGGTATGGGTTTCTTTTATATATATGCTTGAAATTAATAATATATTTTGAATATATGCCTGATAACTTTTATTAGTTTTAGAAAATCTCATTATTTAAAAATCTCCCCCAATACTGTACCTCACTTCAAAGTTAAATGTAGTCTCAATAATTATCACAATCTTGATAGCATTCTGATACCTACACACACACACACACACCAGCTTTTTAGTTGTTGTCAAAGAAAGGTTACTCTGAAACAACTTATAAGCCAAGGCACAAAGTGGTCTTTTTTAAACTGAATCATAACAGACCATCTAGTAACTTCCTATCACTCCTAGAATAAAATACACCTACACTACCCTATTTAGAAGATCTTCATTATCTGACCCTGCCTACATCTCTGACTTTTAATTTATATCACTCCTCATTTGACCAAATGTTCTGGAGTTGGGTTTGTTTTTGTTTGTTTGTTTTTCTATATTGCAAACATGAAAAGCTGATGCCCATGTTAGATACACTGCACAACTCCCTTTACCTCAAAGTCTTTAATCAATAAGGTTAGTTTCTTCCTGGTTGTCCATTTTTAACCCAAATATGTCGTTTACCACAAAATTTCTGATTGGTCTAAAATATCTCCAAAACTCTATATGCTATGCTATTCCTTAAGTGGCAAAGTAAAAGCCAGTCAACAACAACAACAAAAAATATTATGGAAAAGCCATTAAAGTCATACCATCCAATTGAAAATATTGTAACCATCATGAGTTGTTGGGGGGGGGGGGGAGAGAAAGAATATTCAATCAGAGTCACTTGGTTTTCAGGACATTATCTCTCAACAAAATGATCAATTAGCAGATTTGCTTCTAGAGAATTGATTTTCAGCTAATTGATATGAGTAAATTCTGCTGCTTTTGATCAGTGGCTTCCTACTATCTTACTGTAGGAAAAAAGGATCGTCTTATCTTGGGCACAGTGAGATCTATGAAACTATCTAAATCCTGCTATAAATGGGTTCCTGAACAAGAAATAGACAGGTTTCATAATTCATTCAAACTTTCTGTTCATTTTCACTATGTACATAATAAAGCAAAGTTTTCAGAGCTAACTTCCATTTTAAAAGATGAACTTTAGGAGATAATGTAGGTTTAAAATGTGAAAAATCACAATAATAATTGATATGATCTAAAAATATATATATATAAGAAAAGTACACTTTTATTTTTCTTTCTAGGTTCAGCTATATTTCCAAAGGATGTCTACTCTTCTGGAAAACATCATTGCCATCATTGACCTATTCCATCAATATTCAGACAAAGACAAAGAAACTGAAACACTGAGCAAAGAAGAGCTGAAGGAACTTCTGGAAGTAGAGTTTCGCCCAATCCTGAAGGTAAAGATATTTGCCAGAATTAGAGTATAACACGTCAGTATTCATTAATAATCTCACAAAACTGAGTTGATCCCATATCAAAACGGATATAAATTTGTTTTCTCCCTTTATGTCTTTATATCCACCATACACATTCCCTCTATGAAGGATAATAATATGAATATTTAATGACAACGAAATAAATACCAGTTAGTTAGACCTTCACAATATTCTTCCTACATAATGAATATTAAGATAGTATATTTAAAAGATAGTTCAAGTATTGGCTTTATAATCTTTTGATATTTGAAGTAGGAAAAAGAGGAACTTGGCCAACAAATCTTTTCATGTCATCCCATGTATTTAATATTTGTTTCTTTGCCTCTATTACCTCTAATTTTCTCCTGAGTCACAATAATCTAAACTATATTAAAGACACCTGATTTGTTTTCAATTTAAGTAGCAAAAAATTCATATTACCTAAATTGACTTTTCATTATTTATTTAACCATGTAAGTCGGCCTAATGGACCCGCCCTCCTATATATCTTCTGTACAGAATCCAGATGACGTAGACACTGCTGAAGTCGTCATGGACATGCTTGACATAGACCACAACCAGAAATTAGACTTTGAAGAATTTTTTCTGATGTTATTCAATTTGGCCAAAGCATTCAATGACTCCAAAATGAGAAAGAATTTCCGATCATCAGGACAAAAACAGAAAAAGAAGGGACACCAAAAGAAACACGAAGAACATGATATAAAGGAAAACGAGGAGGAAGAGGAAATAGAAAGAAAATACAGGCATTCAAAGAGTGATGGAACAGGGAAAAAAGCAGACTTTGATACCAGAACAAGACAGGGACATAGTGATCGACGCTCCACGAACACCTCTAGGCAGTCAGGCCCGCATCATGCAGACACATCATCTCAGGGACACCACGGCTCATCCCGTGGGAAGTCTGGACAGAGCTCAGGAGGAAGACACCAGTCCCAGCATGGCCAGACCCATGACAGACACACACACTCGGGCACTGGACGTGGACAATCAGCTTCTGGGTCCAGGACCACCACACGTCGGGGATCCACCAGCAGTCAGGCCAGCGACAGCGAAGGACACTCTGGCCATCCAGGTAGACAGTCTGGCTCTACCCATGACAGGACTGGATCCACTTCAAGACAACACCATGGGTCTAGCCATGGCCAGTCACGAGACAGTTCTGCACACTCTGGCCCCCATGGAGGGCACAGAGCCCAGCATGGGCACTCTGAGGACACCCAGGGACAACCAGACTCTGATGCAGGAACAATCCAGGGACATAGTCATCGACGCTCCACAGACACCTCTAGGCATCATGCAGACACATCCTCTCGGCGTCCCCACAGCTCATCCCGTGGGCCGTCCGGACAGAGCGCAGGAGGAAGACACCAGTCCCAGCATGGCCAGTCCCTTGACAGCCATGACAGCCACACACACTCGGGCACTGGACGTGGACAATCAGCTTCTGGGTCCAGGACCACCACACGTCGGGGATCCACCAGCAGTCAGGCCAGCGACAGCGAAGGACACTCTGGCCATTCAGGTAGACAGTCTGGCTCTTCCCATGACAGGACTGGATCCACTTCAAGACAACACCATGGGTCTAGCCAAGGCCAGTCACGAGACAGTTCTACACACTCTGGCCCCCATGGAGGGCACAGAGCCCAGCATGGGCACTCTGAGGACACTCAGGGACACCCAGACTCTGATGAAGGAACAAGCCAGGGACATAGTCATCGACGCTCCACAGACACCTCTAGGCATCATGCAGACACATCCTCTCGGCGTCCCCACAGCTCATCCCGTGGGCCATCCGGACAGAGCGCAGGAGGAAGACACCAGTCCCAGCATGGCCAGACCCTTGACAGCCACACACACTCGGGCACTGGACGTGGACAATCAGCTTCTGGGTCCAGGACCACCACACGTCGGGGATCCACCAGCAGTCAGGCCAGCGACAGCGAAGGACACTCTAGCCATTCAGGTAGACAGTCTAGCCCTACCCATGACAGGACTGGATCCACTTCAAGACAACACCATGGGTCTAGCCATGGCCAGTCACGAGACAGTTCTGCACACTCAGGCCCCCAGGGAGGGCACAGAGCCCAGCATGGGCACTCTGAGGACACCCAGGGACAACCAGACTCTGATGCAGGAACAATCCAGGGACATAGTCATCGACGCTCCACAGACACCTCTAGGCATCATGCAGACACATCCTCTCGGCGTCCTCACGGCTCATCCCGTGGGCCGTCCGGACAGAGCGCAGGAGGAAGACACCAGTCCCAGCATGGCCAGACCCTTGACAGCCACACACACTCGGGCACTGAACATGGACAATCAGCTTCTGGGTCCAGGACCACCACACGTCGGGGATCCACCAGCAGTCAGGCCAGCGACAGCGAAGGACACTCTAGCCATTCAGGTAGACAGTCTAGCTCTACCCATGACAGGACTGGATCCACTTCAAGACAACACCATGGGTCTAGCCAAGGCCAGTCACGAGACAGTTCTACACACTCTGGCCCCCATGGAGGGCACAGAGCCCAGCATGGGCACTCTGAGGACACTCAGGGACACCCAGACTCTGATGTAGGAACAAGCCAGGGACATAGTCATCGACGCTCCACAGACACCTCTAGGCATCATGCAGACACATCCTCTCGGAGTCCCCACAGCTCATCCCGTGGGCCGTCCGGACAGAGCGCAGGAGGAAGACACCAGTCCCAGCATGGCCAGTCCCTTGACAGCCACACACACTCGGGCACTGGACATGGACAATCAGCTTCTGGGTCCAGGACCACCACACGTCGGGGATCCACCAGCAGTCAGGCCAGCGACAGCGAAGGACACTCTGGCCATTCAGGTAGACAGTCTGGCTCTACCCATGACAGGACTGGATCCACTTCAAGACAACACCATGGGTCTAGCCATGGCCAGTCACGAGACAGTTCTACACACTCTGGCCCCCATGGAGGGCACAGAGCCCAGCATGGGCACTCTGAGGACACCCAGGGACACCCAGACTCTGATGCAGGAACAAGCCAGGGACATAGTCATCGACGCTCCACAGACACCTCTAGGCATCATGCAGACACATCCTCTCGGCGTCCCCACGGCTCATCCCGTGGGCCGTCCGGACAGAGCGCAGGAGGAAGACACCAGTCCCAGCATGGCCAGTCCCTTGACAGCCACACACACTCGGGCACTGGACATGGACAATCAGCTTCTGGGTCCAGGACCACCACACGTCGGGGATCCACCAGCAGTCAGGCCAGCGACAGCGAAGGACACTCTAGCCATTCAGGTAGACAGTCTGGCTCTACCCATGACAGGACTGGATCCACTTCAAGACAACACCATGGGTCTAGCCAAGGCCAGTCACGAGACAGTTCTACACACTCTGGCCCCCATGGAGGGCACAGAGCCCAGCATGGGCACTCTGAGGACACTCAGGGACACCCAGACTCTGATGCAGGAACAAGCCAGGGACATAGTCATCGACGCTCCACAGACACCTCTAGGCATCATGCAGACACATCCTCTCGGCGTCCCCACAGCTCATCCCGTGGGCCGTCCGGACAGAGCGCAGGAGGAAGACACCAGTCCCAGCATGGCCAGTCCCTTGACAGCCGTGACAGCCACACACACTCGGGCACTGGACATGGACAATCAGCTTCTGGGTCCAGGACCACCACACGTCAAGGATCCACTAACAGTCAGGCCAGTGACAGCGAAGGACACTCTGGCCATTCAGGTAGACAGTCTGGCTCTTCCCATGACAGGACTGGATCCACTTCAAGACAACACCATGGGTCTAGCCATGGCCAGTCACGAGACAGTTCTGCACACTCAGGCCCCCAGGGAGGGCACAGAGCCCAGCATGGGCACTCTGAGGACACCCAGGGACAACCAGACTCTGATGCAGGAACAAGCCAGGGACATAGTCATCGACGCTCCACAGACACCTCTAGGCATCATGCAGACACATCCTCTCGGCGTCCTCACGGCTCATCCCGTGGGCCGTCCGGACAGAGCGCAGGAGGAAGACACCAGTCCCAGCATGGCCAGTCCCTTGACAGCCATGACAGCCACACACACTCGGGCACTGGACATGGACAATCAGCTTCTGGGTCCAGGACCACCACACGTCGGGGATCCACCAGCAGTCAGGCCAGCGACAGCGAAGGACACTCTAGCCATTCAGGTAGACAGTCTAGCTCTACCCATGACAGGACTGGATCCACTTCAAGACAACACCATGGGTCTAGCCAAGGCCAGTCACGAGACAGTTCTACACACTCTGGCCCCCATGGAGGGCACAGAGCCCAGCATGGGCACTCTGAGGACACCCAGGGACACCCAGACTCTGATGTAGGAACAAGCCAGGGACATAGTCATCGACGCTCCACAGACACCTCTAGGCATCATGCAGACACATCCTCTCGGCGTCCCCACAGCTCATCCCGTGGGCCGTCCGGACAGAGCGCAGGAGAAAGACACCAGTCCCAGCATGGCCAGTCCCTTGACAGCCACACACACTCGGGCACTGGACGTGGACAATCAGCTTCTGGGTCCAGGACCACCACACGTCAAGGATCCACTAACAGTCAGGCCAGTGACAGCGAAGGACACTCTAACCATTCAGGTAGACAGTCTAGCTCTACCCATGACAGGACTGGATCCACTTCAAGACAACACCATGGGTCTAGCCATGGCCAGTCACGAGACAGTTCTACATACTCTGGCCCCCATGGAGGGCACAGAGCACAGCATGGGCACTCTGACGACTCCCAGGGACACCCAGACTCTGATGCAGGAACAAGCCAGGGACATAGTCATCGACGGTCCGCAGACACCTCTAGACAGTCAGTCCCGCATCATGCAGACACATCCTCTCAGGGACTCCACGGCTCAGCCCGTGGTCCCTCTGGACAGAGCTCAGGAGGAAGACACCAGTCCCAGCATGGCCAGTCCCTTGACAGCCACACACACTCGGGCACTGGACGTGGACAATCAGCTTCTGGGTCCAGGACCACCACACGTCGGGGATCCACCAGCAGTCAGGCCAGCGACAGCGAAGGGCACTCTGGCCATTCAGGTAGACAGTCTGGCTCGACCCATGATAGGACTGGATCCACTTCAAGACAACATCATGGGTCCTCCCATGGACAATCTGGAGATAGCACTAAGCACTCGGGGTCCTATGAAGGGCCAACAGCCAGCGACAGCGAGTCCCAATCTTCCCATGGTGTGTCAGGATCTGGCAGTACACATATACAGAGACACCAGCATGAACAGGCAGGTGGTAGCTCCAGAAACTCAAGAAATAGAAATGGAGATAGTTCAGCTCAATCTGTTTACAGTGGGCACCATGGATTCAATATTATTCAGGCCAGTGAGACCAAAGTTGGAATACCTAAATCCCGTCACGTGGGATTTATACACAGACCTCTCTATGGAGAAGACTTTTCAAGATCCAATACATTAGGCAGTTATATAAATCCTGTGACATATGGTCAGTCAGGTGATAGTTTAAGGCAGCGGGGATTTAAACAACAATACTTTTATTCTGAGTGAGAGACAATAGAAATGTAATTAATTCAAAGAGTAAGAGAGGAACAACAGAAATTTGAATCAAGAATGTTTCATTATACTTACACATAGGTTATCTTCTATTATCTTTTTAACATATCATCTTACTTTTCTTTGGTGGTGGTTTCTTCTCATTCTCTGGGAAAGTTTTATCTTTATAACTTTAAAATGGTGAATGGAAAAAAGCAATGTTATGGACAGAGAAATTATGAAATGTATGACTATTTTGGTAAATAGGTTTATGTAATAATTTTTGAGGGATTAAAATTTAGAATCTCTTCAGTTTCATAGTATAATCTTTGCCAAAAATTAAAAAATGGGGTCAAAATTATAAAATCATCATTCCTGAGTCCAAAGCTGCTATACTACTATCGTGGCTAATATTGGTGCTTCTATTATGCTTCTATTGGAACTGTGTATTACTCTGTATTCATTAAAATCACCTTTCAGCATGTAGAATTCATAAAATGAATTGCATAAAAACTGAAAATAAACAATTGATCATATACCATAATTTGTGTCTTCTATGCTTATTTCTCATAAACCCCGAAAGACTTTTTTCCCCATGGTCTGAATTACAATCTTTTCCTCATCTCTAGCAACCTGTATGACCAAATCCTAGTTACAGAGAATGCAAAAATATTAAGGAGTCTAAAGAAGAAAGTACTTAATCAAATCCTATGTTTTTCTGTAACATAACCATTGTTCCACTTTGTCACCTACAGGGTGGAAAAGGCTTATCTCAATTGTTAATGGAATCATAATTATTATCAAAACATCAACCCAGATGGCTATTATCCAAGTCAAACCAAGATCAGGAAACACAAACTACTGCCCGTAGAACCTTTTTCCAAGACACTAGGAAATGTTTTCCAATGGAGACTAATGAGAGCAGAGAAATTATGCTAAAATTTATTGGAAATCAATAAAGAAAACATTCTTCTTCCTGGAAAGAAAATTCATGTACTTCATGAGTTAGTCCAGTGGATAAAGAGATAAGGGAAAAAATAGGAATCATGTGAACAAGATTCTATCATTAGAAGGAAAATCCCTCTGTGTGAATCGTATCCTAGATTCCTCCTTTGTAATAGGAGACCAGCGGGGATTCAGAGAATACCTAGACCATTGTTCACATTTAGCAGATGAGTCCATCACACAAATAATCTGCGCCACAATAACAACTAGAGCTTAAGTCTTTTTTAATTCTCTACTTAGTGGTTTTATAAACACACTTACAAAAGCTGTCTTTTTTTTCACTATTGCTTTAATAAATCAAGCTAAAGTGAAATTGTCAAAGTTTAACTGATCCCCAATGTGGATAAGGGAGTAAATAAAAAGCAACAACTTCATTTTTCTCATTAGCCTCAAATAATATCATGTCTATGTTTGTGCTCCACAAGCCACTAAAGGGGATCTGATCCACCTACTGGTCCCCTGCTTCCCTGCTTAAAGTGCTGTCCCTAAATTCCCATACAAGCTGCAAAATCCAGAAGGTGCCAGACCTGCTGACCTCATTGAGTTGCCACTGACACAGATAATGGAGCCACCGCCTCTCTTATGAGTCACTATTTGTCACCTTGCCTACAGTCTCACAAGCAGCTATTCAGCTACCACCGAGACCCTTCTTTCTCTAGAGTAGTCAAGCCTAACTGACAGGCTGAAGATAAAAGTTAGAATGAGAGAGACAGTGCAGACCTGGCTACCCAAGGAGGGAAGTATTGATGGAAAGACACTGACTGACCTTACAACAGAGATATACACCTCTAAGCAAAACTCTCGATGTTTTGTAAAGAACCCATAAACAGACAACTGAAATTGTTTTCTTTCATATCCCGGTCCACTCAAGGACAAAATTACCATACACTCCTTTGCATGTGAATCAACTATTTTCATGCACAGTTCAGTAGAGGTAAGTATATTCACATTGTGACACAACTAATCTCCAGATTTTTTTCATCTTGCCCAACTGAATCTTTATATCCATTATACAAAAATTCCTTATTTCCTCTTCCCTTACCCCATAGCAACCACCATTCTACTTTCTGATTCTATTAATTTGACTACTTTAGATATTTCATATAAATGGAATCATAAAATACTTCTCTTTTTGTGACTGGCTTATTTCAATTAGGATAATGACAAGATACAACATCCATTTATGATTTTTTTTAAAACACTCAATAAAATAGGCATAGAAGGAAAGTACCAACATGATAAAGGCCATATATGACAAGCCCTCAGCTAATATTATACTCAATGGTAAAAAACTAAAAGCTTTTCTAAGGAACAAGATAAGGATGCTCATTCTTGCCACTATTATTCAACACAGTACTAGCCAGAAAAAGAAATAAAAAGCATCCAAATACAGAAGTGAAACTGTCATTATTTGCAGATGAAATGATTCTATACATTAAAAAAAACCTAAAAACTCCACACACACAAAAGAAAAACTATTAAAAACAATAAACAAACAAAATAAAGTTGGAGCAAAACCAGTATGGTTCAGTGGATAGAGCATTGGCCTGCAGACTGAAAGGTCCCTGGTTCGATTCAGGTCAAGGGCATGTACCTTGGTTGTGGGCACATCCCCAGTAGGGGGGTGTGCAGGAGGAAGCTGATCTATGTTTCTCTCTCATTGATGTTTCTAGCTCTTTATCCCTCTCCCTTTCTCTCTGTAAAAAAATCAATAAAATACTTTTTAAAATTAAAAAAAAAAAACAGTAAAGTTGCACATACAAAATCAATATACAAAAAGGTACCCACATAACATCTGGCTGTGAAAATCAGCAGGGATTCTAGCAGACTCCAGCCAGGGAGAGACCAGAGTCTGCTAGAGACACAGGTTCCCTCCTAAAGAGCCAAAACACAATCTCATTTGCAGCCATTCACCCTCTGCTCCAGTGGAGGGAGGGCAGAGCAGACTAGAGTCATGTGAGGAGAGACTGGGGTTGGTGACTCTGGGGAGAGCCCTGAACGGACAGCCGCAGGACCCCTGTGTTGAGTTCCTCTACCACACCACAGAAACTATCTTTCTTGGGTGGAGCACTCATTTTCTATGGGATCAACCCAGGAAAATGCAATAGCCCTACCATCTGAACTCCCTGTTGCCCCACCCTATGGAGTCATGCCTCCTGAGAGTTAGCTGCCTGGGCTGGGATATAAAGATCTGGCCAGACACAGGAGGTGTCTATGACTGAGTGGTGTGGCTTTGGGGCAGGGGCTATTGTCCCCACATTCCTGTGAATCTCCCCCTCACAGGAGATCTGCTAGGCCCACTCTCAAGGCTCCCAGCAATCTCAGCCTCCTGATTCCTGGTGCCTCCCACCCTCCCTGCCAAGTTCTGGGAAGAATCCAGGATGGACTAAGTTGTGTGGCTCTGGGGTGGGCACCACTCCCCTAAATTCCCCTCAAGCCTGACTAGCACCTCCCCATCATGAAAGATCCATTAGCCCAACCCTCCCCAGCAGCCACACTCTGCTGAACTTGATCTCCCTGCAGAATCTTGGACAGACTCTGTGGGGCTCTGAAGTCCTCTCTGATATCTCCCATGCTAGCAGGTCCTTTGTACTACCTCTATAATATTTTATGGCCCCTGGGGAACATTTCCATCCACTCTCCTCCATCTTTCCACTTTAAGTCCTACATGCAGAAAGCCTCAATAAAGTAGGAACTAAAGACTACAGGCCATGAATGATCATGAGATCATCAAGCAGTAAGTTAGGGAGGTGGAAAGAGAAAGCTGTTAACAAAATAAGTAAGAGTATACAAGTAAGAATAGGCTATGGATTCCTAGCATCTGGGCATTTATGAGGTCTTGGAGGAGAAAAGGAAGAATAAGAACACAAAGAGAAACAACTGAATAGGAAGAACAATACTCAAGCAGAGTATATTTCAGGGTTTGGATTTGGAGCTGAAAGATGTATCATCATGCTTGCGGAAGTCCCCTTCCCCTTAATGCTAAGATATTAAATTATATCAGATCCATTTTTGATTTTTTGAAATTAAAAAAAAATGGCCCTTGTACCTGGTGAGAAGGATATGGAAGGAAATGCTTGCTGACCAGTTTTATTTTATAGCTAACTTCTTTTGACTCCACTCACCCCAAAATCATTACAACCAACGTTCTTTGCTTGTTATGTCCTTATTTTTTGCATAGTCTCCTCATTCATGGAGACTGAGAACTGTAAGAAATTGCATGGGGGAAGTGAGAGAAGAGGTCAAGGAGAAAAGCTTTCTGTAGAATTTCCCAATAGCCCACCAGATGGCACTATAGGAATACTACTCTGCCTTCCACAGGAGCACAAGTGAAAACAGCTGTGGAAGGGAACTTCACAGATTATCTTCACTAATCTTGGTTGGTTGATTGGTTAGTTGGTTGGTTGGTTGGTTGGTTGGTTTTCTCTTCAGGTCAAACACTCCATTCCTCAAAAACTTTCCCCCAACCCTCTTGCCTTTTGCATGAATAATCTCTACTCCCTGGCTATTTCTAGACAGAAGCAGATCTGAGTTTGAATATTGTCTTCTTAATATTCAAATTGCTAAGTGACTTGAAACAACTTACATGTATTCTCTAGGCCTCAGTTTTCTCATCTGAAAAATGGAAGTAATAATACCTACAACATACAGCTGTTGTGAGAATTAATAAAATTATATACTTAGAGCACTGTGTTTGGCATAATGGAAAATGCAACTTCCTTTCTTCTGCCAACACATGGTGGCACTGAAAAACCTAGAATATAACACATACCATAAGAAATCTCTTCTCCTGAACCCTGTCATCTCCAAGGGGGAAACTACTAACCAAACTCTTCACGTCCACCCTAAGACTGTGGAACACATGCTCTGGTAAAATCATGATTCTCAGTTTTGGAAAGGACCTTTGTGGTAATCAACTCCCAATTCTTACACTAGAAATTCTCAAAAGGGAGAGGAGAGGCCAAAAGATACATTAAATATACTTCCTGTTTTCGTGACACAAACCAATAAATAAAGCTCAACAAAACTTTGGTTGGTGACATTGGAGAATATTCAGAAAACAAAACACTGAAAGGATTAAAACTGCTTACATGAGAAATGACAGATTCTACTGTACAATATTCCAGACAATAAACTTAATTACCTTGCAAAGAGTTCATTGCATTTTCAACCAACACAGATGTTAAGAATTTCTTACTTACATCAAGTCAAAATCTACCTTACTCTTATGAGCACTCAAAGGTCCCTTATTCTGTTTCCTTTACCTACCACCTCAGACACGCCAACATTCTCAGACATGCACCTTTTCTCTCACACAGAATTATTGGTTCTGATATCCAACACTTCCCAGAACTTCTCCTCCCTCAGATTCTCCTTTCCTGGCAAATCTTCCTAACAAGCAAATACAGAAGAGGGCCAGGGGTGGCAAACTACAGCTCACAGGCCAAACCTAGCTCATCGCCAATTTATGGATGGCCCACAAACTATAAACATTTTCTACAGTAGTTGAAAAAAAATTGTGAAGTTTTATGAAATGTAAAGGTCAGTGTCAATAAATATGTTTTATTGAAACACAGCCATGTTCATTCATTTACATATCACCTATGGCTGCTTTCATGCCACAAGAACAGAGTTCAATAGTTGTAAGGAGGTCCATCGGGCCCTCGAAGACTATAATATTTACTCTCTAGCCCCTAATAGTTTGCTGGCCCCTAATTCAGGAGAACACTCATCCCAAGAGCATGTCCACCTGAAGTAGTCTTCACCTCACCTCACCCTGTCCTTCCTCTTTGGTAACAGCCCGCTCCTGCAGGAAATTAGTCTTCACTTAGCAAATTCCACCTCCCTTGCACTCCCACAGTCACAGTCACACCTTTATAAAGATCTTTCCTCTGATGAAGTATGATGACCTGGCCCAAATCAGGTGTCCAGAGGAAACTGGGCCTCTGTATGGATGGATACTGGCTCTGCAGCCCTCTGGGTAGTTCTTAGAAGAAAACATATATCATAATAATGGTTGAATTTTGAATCATGTGATTTATCATTTGCCAATAATTGCTACCACTCTTCCAAAAATCCTGATGGTTGTGTTGTAAAAGTTTTAAGTCTATGTAATTTCACTCAGCTTTAGTGAAATTTGTGTTACATGTTTACAATGATGGAGTGCAGAGCAAGGACCTCAGAGATAAGCAGAAAAGCACTCATGGATTCCAATGCTAAGATTCAGTATAGATTCGGGTGAAATAATGTTCTAAGAGGTAACAATGGCAAGAGAGAGGGAAGGCTCTAGTCCTGTGAAAAAGTATAAGTTGATCAATGAAGACCACTGTAGTCATAGCCCTCACTCCTTTTTCAATTCAATTCAATTTGACCAACATTTATTGGGGACCTTCATTGCCAAGAAATTTGCTTAGTCTCCAAATGACATAAGGAATAATGATGCCCATTCCCTATTCTCAAGCTCATAGTCCAGAATTGATATAGGCAAATAGACAAATACGTACGTGTGTGTGTGTGTGTGTGTGTGTGTATGTGTGTGTGTGTGTGTGTGTGGTGTGTGTGTGTGTATTTAAGGATATAAACTAAATAATTAACAGTAGCTATTTCTGAGTAATAGGATTAAAGCTATTTTCACTTTCTTTTTGTTTATCTATATTTTTTAATTTTTATATTAAACATTAATTTCATAGTAAAACTATTTTAGAAGATTATAATATAGTTTGATTGATACTACTATAGAATTATGAATAAGGTACACAATTAATAACTCTCGAGTAATTCAAGGCAGATTTCCTACAGGGTGTCTAATGTGGATTTTTAAGAATGGATAAGAGTTCACTAGGCAGATAATGAAAAAAGATATTCCAGGAAAAAACATGAAATAGCATGTTATTTTCAGGAAATTTAAGTATCACTGGTAGGGCATTAAGAGGAAGAGGGAGAGAGAAGATGGGGTTAAAGAGAAGCCACAGCCCAGATCATGAGGAACCTTGAATACTATGCTAAAGAGCATACATTTCTTCTTAAGGTTATATAGTGGCTAAAACAGAAGCCACATTGACAAATGGCACTAAAGTCTGATAAAGAGAATTGAATAAAAAAAACAAGAAGGCCTCTGCCGCCATTCTCTATTTAAAGAGGTAATAATATCATGGGTGACACCTTGGCTGGAATCCTGCATAAGAAAATTTAGCTTTAAAAAAAATTTTTTTATGTATTTTTATTGTTTTTTACAGAGAGGAAGAGAGAGGGATAGAGAGTTAGAAACATTAATGAGAGAGAATCATCAATCAGCTGCCTCTTGCACACTCCCTACTAGGGATGTGCCCACAGCCAAGGAACATGCCTTGACCGGAATCGAACCCGGGACCCTTCAGTCCGCAGGCTGACGCTCTATCCACTGAGCCAAACCAGCTTTGGCTAAAAAAAAAAAAATTTTTTTTTTGATCAGATGATCTTTAAGCTTCCTTTTAAAAATCAGATTCCATGAATCTGATATTTGTTCCCTGATGTTCCTGCACACATTCCGCTCAACTTCAGTTAAATCCACATAATTTGTTTTCAATGCATTGTGCTACGTAGATATTTCATTGGATATGCAAAAGGTCTTTCTTCAGTGTTCAGGGACTCTTGACAGGTAGGGCTGGTACTCGCCCAGATTTGGGAGCTGCTAATGCAATCTCAGGTGAACAAGAAAGGGAGTAAGAAGATAAACACTAGGAGGTGGAGATGGAGGTGGAGCTGGGCTTACTTGAGAGTAAATTAGGACATCTCAAAGGGAGCAGCTCTTCCCTGAGATGGATCATTACTCCCCCTATAAAAAGGCCACTATCTGCATCTAGCAGCACCCTGTAAGCTGCTTCAGCCTCCATCCTACTTGTTCCTCTGGTGTACTAGGTAAGTGAGCAGTATTTAGAGCTATAAGTTATGAGAATCTGGGATGGGCTCTATGGCAAAGAGGCACTGGGTACCAGGCTTCTTTTGAATATACTTTGGAGAACTTTGGTATAAGTTTAATTTTATTGAGAAGAAAAATGATGAAATACGTGGAACTGATAGTATCAGCTTTCTTTGGGGTCATTTCCTTAATGATCATGGGCTCAAAATTATCCAGTAGGCAGGTTGCCTCCTTTACTTACTAAGCTTTTTCTCTCTGTCGTCTAATCAGTAAAACCTGGGGTCAGCACCTCTTAGATAATGAAAACAGAAGCTGAGCCCGATAGCAGCTGCCCCCAGCTCCATCTCACCTAGGCCTGTTGTTGTCTTTGCCCACTTTATTTACTTTCTCTGGACTAGAAGTCTGGAGGACCTAGTTTAGACCCTGATACCCCTTAGTTGGACTCAGGCATGCCATGTAGATAATAGACTTGTCCTTCCTTAGTGTGATGGTTGAGACCTAGAAAGGAACTGAGGAAATGGATGGATTGGCACACCCAGGACTTCTACAGCTCCAGAACAAAGTTCCTAAAAATTATCCCTGGAAGAGGCAAAGAGACCAAAAAAAGAAGTCATCACTCCTATATTCATTCAGAAATGGAAATATGAGATATAGTTTCTGTTCCTAATTTCACCACTTTCTTGCTATAGGATTTGAATAAGTCATTTAACTCTGGATTGGCTCTTGATCATAACAGAATTAATCATCCCTCATTGATTCAGAACCATTTTTACAAATAATTAAAACTACTTATGTATTTAAACAAGAAAAAGAAATAATAACAGGTGGGTCTCTCCTTTTCTTCCCTTTTAGGTTAATTAAATCTCCAAAAAAGATGCCTAAACTCCTACAAAGCATTGTCTCTGTCATCGAAGTTTTCTACCAATATGCCACCAATGATGAGGAGTGTGCCATGTTGAACAAGGGAGAAATGAAAGTATTTTTGGAAAATGAATTCCATCAAATTATGAAGGTAAGATATAAGTCCATATCAGGACTAAAATACTGCAATTCCCTTCTTTTCCTTTTCTACTTTTTGTCACATATATCAAATTCCTAGATGATTCTCCCTACCTAGTAACAGAGAACAGGGTTTAAAACAAGGTCAAACATTGACCCCTGTAATGGTTTCCATAACATGACCAAGAAAGTGACCCTATTTTTAAAAATCACAGATTAAATGTCCTAAGTGAGTAATTCTTCTGGAACAACAACCGAGATGGTTCTCAGAAAAACTGAAAAGTAGGTAAAATGCATCTTCTTCCCTTTTTTAGTCTTTCTTCAGCCCAAAACATCCTGACCATAGCCCATTTCTGAGATGGAGACATTATAAAGCCTCTGAGTTCAAGAAATTAGCATCTTACTCCTAAATCATGAAAGAGGGTGACCACTATCTTAAAATGTCGGTTCTGGAAATAAATATTTAGGAGCTTAGATGTAGTTCTTGACCTCCAACTCATTGAATCCAGCTACATAATAAATATTTTCATTTGGATTCTTATCAATGTCTCATATTCAGGATGTCAGATACAAAACTTAACCTCTCCTCCTGTGTGCCCAAAGCAGAAATCTGGTGCCATTTTAACTTCCTCTCTCAGCTTGCTCTTCCACTCTCCAACCTCCATCAAATTCATCACAGTCTCTCAGTCTGCCCATTTCACACCATCACTATTGCTGGTTCAAGCCATTTCTTACTTCCAATCTCAGCATTACACATAAATCTAATCATTTCACACTCATTTCAAAATCCTTCAACAGCTCCCAGTTCTTTAAAATAAAGTCCAAAGTTACTTAATGTATCTTCAAAGGCATGATTTGCTCCATACTTACCTCTCTAGCACATCTCTTGACTGATAATGCTCTAAATTTAGCAATCCTGAATTTCTTTCAGTTCTTTCTATATGAGCCATGTCTTCTCTTACCTCCAATTCTTTTGTTCATATTGTTCCCTCTACCTGGGTCCAATCCATCCTTTGAAATATATCACTTCCCCTCATTAACCTTCCTTAAACCCCCAGTGGCTTCCCTCTGATATATTCTTATAGAAACATCACAATAAACTGTGATTTTTAAGTTTGTGTGTCTGGCCCACTAGACTTTAAGTTCCATTTTGTCAAGAACCAAACTTACTCATTGCACCTAACTGAATGAGAGGCAGGTAGTAGGTGCAAAATAATTTTTTTGAATGAGTATATGAATTAATGAGTTAATGAATAAAGATGAACAAATCAAGAAAAATCATATATAATTAATATGAATATCCAAAATTATTATTTATAAATTAGCTAATCATCTATATTTGACCCATTCCTTACAAAAAATAATCTTCCAGTTGCACATTCTTCTATTTCTCACTTCATTATTCATTGCATATTTCCTTTTCTCTTGCTCAGGATAGTATAGTCCAGCTAAAGGACTATGTGTTTTAACCTATGTAAGCCAAGCTCTCACACTTCTACAGCCTTTCTTCAATTGGTTAGCTGGGTATGTGGTCCATATTCACAGAGCTTCCCTTTGTACCTTGTTCCTATACAGAACCCAGATGATCCAGAAACTGTAGATATCATCATGCAAAGTCTGGATCGAGACCATAACAAGAAAGTGGACTTTACTGAGTATCTTCTGATGATATTCCAGCTGGCTCAGGCTTGTAATAAAATCATCGGCAAAGATTACTGCCAAGCTTCAGGGTCAAAGCAAAGAGATCACAGTCACCAGCACCAAGAGGAACATAGTGAAACAGAAAAGAAGAACAATGGGGAAGAATCGTCTTCCAGCCATTCAAGGTGGAGTGCAGGAGAGAATGATTCCTATTCCAGGAGCTCCAGGCCTCAATCCAGCTCCAGAAGAATTGGGCATGAAGGAAGTTCATCTAATTTGGGACACAGGCAAAGCTCTGGAGAAAGATGGAGAGAGTCAAACTCAGGCCACTTCAAGAATATTAAGAAAAATAAGTATGGCTCTCATCAGCAAGAAAGGTCTGCAAGTGACGAAGATGGTCACACTCAGTCAAATAACTATAGAAAAAGATCACACTCAGCAAATCAGTCAGGCGGTTATGGAGAACAAGGGCATGTTTCCCACTCAGAGGATCGGTCTTTCAGTTCTGACCAACGTGGGTCTCACTCAAATGAATCTTTAGGAAAGAGACAACATGAAAATTCAAGTCAACATCATGGATTCAGCTCAGGGAGTTGTGGAGGACAAGACAACTGGTCAAGTTCCAATGAGCCCATTGGTTATGGTCATGGGTCAGGCTCAGGTCAGTCTTCTAGCTATGGCCAACATGGATCAGGATTAGGCCAGGCTTCCAGCTATGGACAACATGGGTCTGAATCAGGTCAAACCTCTGGCTATGGCCGACACAGGTCTGGTTCAAGTCAATCTTCTAGCCATAGCCAACATAGGTATGGATCAGGTCAATCTTCTGGCTATGGCCGACAGAGGACTGGCTCAGGTCAGTCTTCTAGCTGTGGTCAACACGGTTCTGGTTCAGGTCAGTCTTCTAGCTATGGTCAACACGGTTCTGGCTTGGGTCAGTCTTCTAGCTATGGTCAACACGGTTCTGGCTCAGGTCAGTCTTCTAGCTATGGTCAACACGGTTCTGGCTCAGGTCAGTCTTCTAGCTGTGGTCAACATGAGTATGGCTCAGGTCAGTCTTCTAGCTATGGCCAACATGGATCAGGATTAGGCCAGACTTCCAGCTATGGACAACATGGGTCTGAATCAGGTCAAACTTCTGGCTATGGCCGACACAGGTCTGGTTCAAGTCAATCTTCTAGCCATAGCCAACATAGGTATGGATCAGGTCAATCTTCTGGCTTTGGCCGACAGAGGTCTGGCTCAGGTCAGTCTTCTAGCTATGGCCAACATGGATCAGGATTTGGCCAGGCTTCCAGCTATGGACAACGTGGGTCTGAATCAGGTCAAACCTCTGGCTCTGGCCGACAAAGGTCTGGCTCAAGTCAATCTTCTAGCTATAGCCGACATAGATATGGATCAGGTCAATCCTCTGGCTCTGGACAACACAGACATAGCTCAGGTCAATCTTCTGGCTTTGGACAACATGGATCTGGATCAGGTCAATCCTCTAGTTATGGTCAACATGGGTATGGTTCAGGTCAGTCTTCTAGCTATGGTCAACACGGTTCTGGCTCAGGTCAGTCTTCCAGCTATGGTCAACATGGTTCTGGCTCAGGTCCAGGTCAGTCTTCTAGCTATGGTCAACACGGTTCTGGCTCAGATCAGTCTTCTAGCTATGGTCAACACGGTTCTGGCTCAGGTCAGTCTTCTAGCTATGGTCAACACGGTTCTGGCTTGGGTCAGTCTTCTAGCTATGGTCAACACGGTTCTGGCTCAGGTCAGTCTTCTAGCTATGGTCAACACGGTTCTGGCTCAGGTCAGTCTTCTAGCTATGGTCAACACGGTTCTGGCTTGGGTCAGTCTTCTAGCTATGGTCAACACGGTTCTGGCTCAGGTCAATCTTCTAGCTATGGTCAACACGGTTCTGGCTCAGGTCAGTCTTCTAGCTATGGTCAACACGGTTCTGGCTCAGGTCAATCTTCTAGCTGTGGTCAACACGGTTCTGGCTTAGGTCAGTCTTCTAGCTATGGTCAACACGGTTCTGGCTCAGGTCAGTCTTCTAGCTATGGTCAACACGGTTCTGGCTTGGGTCAGTCTTCTAGCTATGGTCAACACGGTTCTGGCTTGGGTCAGTCTTCTAGCTATGGTCAACACGGTTCTGGCTCAGGTCAGTCTTCTAGCTATGGTCAACACGGTTCTGGCTCAGGTCAGTCTTCTAGCTATGGTCAACATGAGCATGGCTCAGGTCAGTCTTCTAGCTATGGTCAACACGGTTCTGGCTCAGGTCAGTCTTCTAGCTATGGTCAACACGGTTCTGGCTCAGGTCAGTCTTCTAGCTATGGTCAACACGGTTCTGGCTTGGGTCAGTCTTCTAGCTATGGTCAACACGGTTCTGGCTCAGGTCAATCTTCTAGCTATGGTCAACACGGTTCTGGCTCAGGTCAGTCTTCTAGCTATGGTCAACACGGTTCTGGCTCAGGTCAATCTTCTAGCTGTGGTCAACATGAGTATGGCTCAGGGCAGTCTTCTAGCTATGGTCAACACGGGTCTGGCTCAGGTCAGTCTTCTAGCTATGGTCAACACGGGTCTGGCTCAGGTCAGTCTTCTAGCTATGGCCAACATGGATCAGGATTAGGCCAGACTTCCAGCTATGGACAACATGGGTCTGAATCAGGTCAAACCTCTGGCTATGGCCGACACAGGTCTGGTTCAAGTCAATCTTCTAGCCATAGCCAACATAGGTATGGATCAGGTCAATCTTCTGGCTATGGCCGACAGAGGTCTAGCTCAGGTCAGTCTTCTAGCTATGGCCAACATGGATCAGGATTTGGCCAGGCTTCCAGCTATGGACAACGTGGGTCTGAATCAGGTCAAACCTCTGGCTCTGGCCGACAAAGGTCTGGCTCAAGTCAATCTTCTAGCTATAGCCGACATAGATATGGATCAGGTCAATCCTCTGGCTCTGGACAACACAGACATAGCTCAGGTCAATCTTCTGGCTTTGGACAACATGGATCTGGATCAGGTCAATCCTCTAGTTATGGTCAACATGGGTATGGTTCAGGTCAGTCTTCTAGCTATGGTCAACACGGTTCTGGCTCAGGTCCAGGTCAGTCTTCTAGCTATGGTCAACACGGTTCTGGCTCAGGTCCAGGTCAGTCTTCTAGCTATGGTCAACACGGTTCTGGCTCAGGTCAGTCTTCTAGCTATGGTCAACACGGTTCTGGCTTGGGTCAGTCTTCTAGCTATGGTCAACACGGTTCTGGCTCAGGTCAGTCTTCTAGCTATGGTCAACACGGTTCTGGCTCAGGTCAGTCTTCTAGCTATGGTCAACACGGTTCTGGCTTGGGTCAGTCTTCTAGCTATGGTCAACACGGTTCTGGCTTGGGTCAGTCTTCTAGCTATGGTCAACACGGTTCTGGCTCAGGTCAGTCTTCTAGCTATGGTCAACATGAGCATGGCTCAGGTCAGTCTTCTAGCTATGGTCAACACGGTTCTGGCTCAGGTCAGTCTTCTAGCTATGGTCAACATGAGCATGGCTCAGGTCAGTCTTCTAGCTATGGTCAACACGGTTCTGGCTCAGGTCAGTCTTCTAGCTATGGTCAACATGAGCATGGCTCAGGTCAGTCTTCTAGCTGTGATCAACATGGTTCTGGCTCAGGTCAGTCTTCTAGCTATGGTCAACATGAGCATGGCTCAGGTCAGTCTTCTAGCTATGGTCAACATGAGCATGGCTCAGGTCAGTCTTCTAGCTATGGTCAACACGGTTCTGGCTCAGGTCAGTCTTCTAGCTATGGTCAACACGGTTCTGGCTCAGGTCAGTCTTCTAGCTATGGTCAACACGGTTCTGGTTCAGGTCAGTCTTCTAGCTATGGTCAACACGGTTCTGGCTCAGGTCAGTCTTCTAGCTATGGTCAACACGGTTCTGGCTCAGGTCAGTCTTCTAGCTATGGTCAACATGAGCATGGCTCAGGTCAGTCTTCTAGCTGTGGTCAACATGAGTATGGCTCAGGTCAGTCTTCTAGCTATGGTCAACACGGTTCTGGCTCAGGTCAGTCTTCTAGCTATGGTCAACATGGTTCTGGATCAGGTCAGTCTTCTAGCTATGGTCAACACGGTTCTGGCTCAGGTCAGTCTTCTAGTTGTGGTCAACATGGGTATGGCTCAGGTCAGTCTTCTAATTGTGGTCAACATGGGTATGGCTCAGGTCAGTCTTCTAGTTATGGTCAACACGGTTCTGGCTCAGGTCAGTCTTCTAGCTATGGCCAACATGGGTATGGCTCAGGTCAATCTTCTAGTTGTGGTCAACATGGTTCTGGCTCAGGTCAGCCTAATAGCCAATCTGGATGTGGATGGAGTCAGCCTTCTAGCTGTGGCCAACACAGATATGCCTCTCACCATATTCAACATGGATGTGGCTCAGGTCTATGTTCTAGCTCTGAACAATCTGGGTTTGCATCTGGTCAGTATTCTGGCACTGGACAATATGGGTCAGGCTCATCTCATTCATCTAGCTCTGAACAATGTGGCTTTGGATCTGGTCAGTATTCTGGCACTGAACAATCTGGGTTTGGTTCATCTCATTCATCTAGCTCTGAACAATATGATTTGGGATCTGGTCAGTATTCTGACACAGAACAATATGGTTATGGCTTGTGTCATTCACCTTGCCCTAAACAATGTGGTTCTGGGTCTACTTGGTGTCCTAGCTATGAGCAACATGAATTACAAGGAAGATGTGAGTCAATTTCAAGTGGTACTCATGATGAGGACAGTAAATCCTCAACCCCCAATCAATCAAGAAGAAATAGCCAGGAATGGTCAGGGTACAATGAAGAAGAAAAAAGTAGTGAGTCTGATAGATATGAGAGTATTCATGGACAAAGACAAGTAGAAAGCTCCTTGAGTTGTGGCTTTGGACAACCTAGAGCCAACACACCCAATTTAGTATTAATGTCCAAGGAGGATAATAGACAAGATGGCTATTATTATTATTATCAGACAGAAGGCAATAACTGTGGAGATGGAAGCACCAACTCAAGTTCCCACAGTTTCAGTAGCAGCACTCCACTCTATAAATATGTCCAAGAACACAGGTGTTAATTCTAGTGATAAATAATAAAGAGAAATGGAATTAACTCAAGTAGTAATTTAAAAAATAAACTATAACAGACAAGCAACTTATTATAAAGAGTCTTTCTAAAAGTAAATGTATTTGTTTCTATCTTTTTCATTTAACTGTATTATATTCACTGTTATTTGGTTCCTTCCAAAGAATATAGGGTATATGGGCTACATTGCTAGGAAATCCTGATTTGAATAAATAATGTGTGGGCCTAAATTTAGAAGCCTAATATAAAGTATTTATGGAGCCTGGGGTTTAGTTAAGGTGTCTTTTTGAGAGTTCACTGTTCATTATTTATGCCAAACTAAGCCTGCATCTCTAAAAAGCAAAAAATTATACTACCAGTTATGGAGCAAAAGCTTCTCTTACATCAATATGGGTCATAATTTTTGGTGTGCCCGACATGGATGGTAGCAAAAAGAAGATCCTAAAAGCAAAGATGTAATGTAGGAAGTTTCCCAGTTTACCAAAACCATCAAGCCCTTATTCTCGGGTGCATCTTTCATTAGTAAGCTACAGGTATTTGTTTAATGTCACATTAAAAAATGGCATCAGGTGTTTGTTTCTCCCTAGCTAGTGAGTGAG